GATTTTTTAGAAGTGCGGAGCGACATACAACTCTTCTAGTTACCCTGGGAAAGCATAAAATGTATACCTTCGGATGTAGCGCTACGAATCAGATTGTCTTCAGGTTTAGCAACGCGTCGATAGTGGGCTATAACGAATAGACGATAAGTGGGGTTTGTGTGAACACCCTTCGAGCATAGCTGATGCTCGCTCTCATCGAGGATTATGCCATCTAACATTTGTTTTCTAAGAACTACTATAAAAATACATTCGAGAACTGTTTAAGGATTGATTGTTCCTCTCTCCTACTACTAGTGTTCTGATAACAACAAGAGTGCAAGGCTGCACAAGAGTGCAAGCGAAGCTATCGAACTTCAAAAACAGAATGTCGAGAGAAAAAAAAATGCCAATCTCCGAATCTCCCGTGACTCGCAGATGGGTCAAAACATTTTTTGTGTTTTTATTTATTTATATTGTTTTTATTAGTAAATCGTGTGTTAAACTGATAATATCCATTGAGCGGTATTTATGAGTAAAAATAGTAAATACCTTGCGGTATATAACCTCAAACTTTATTTTTGTAAAAACAAATTCAGCATATGATAACTGATAAACGGGTGAGTGATGGCCGATGACTGAAGAGAAGTGGTGAGTCCCTTGGCTAAAGACTACATACTCGTGTGTGTGTAGTCATACACTGATACACAGTAGACACACTACAGTCTACGCACTACACAGTACACGCTCAGGTATAAAAAAGTCAAAATGCCCGGAGGGTCAATGATAATTTACGATATGTATATAAATATTGCAAAGAACAGACTCTGTTCATCACATTCAATATTTGTGTTAACTTCGCCTTCCCTGCAAGAACATGACTAGGACTTCCGCAATACTGGCACATCAAGATTTTGCACTCGGGTTGGCGAATCCCAAAACATCGAGTCCATTGCACTCTTCCAAGTACACAATCAGATGTCTCACTTTCGACAACGAAATCGTGAACTTAGCAACATGTCGGGCAGCCCCAGTATTTAAGATAAGCAGAGGGAGTAGCGTATCGTGCACGTTTCAACCCTGTCACAGTACACTGCACCTAAAGGTGGAGAATCACGCCGACACTTCACTAGAGAATAATGTAGCGAGTTTTATAGGCACACAAAAGAAACTCTGTGAGATTCTTTCGCCGGAGGTTAAGCTGACTTCGGCCCAGACAAACTTCCCCAATCGCCGACAAAGCCACAATAAGTTGAAAAGGGCATGTATTGCACTGAAGCGCTGTATGTCAGCGTCTAGACACAGCTCTACCCCGCACCAAATTGAACCCGTACTTAGAGCAGAGGCAGTCGAAATAAATTATTCCAGACTACATAAAAAAATACGTACTATATTGAATTGCCGTGCTTTGGATTGCATGCACAGTGTATTGTGGCGTAGTCTTGGCCGGTAATAGTGCACCCAGATATGATGCAACTGTATTTGATCATTTTCAATTAATAGGTAGCGTAGAAATTCCAGTACATAGTTATCCGCTGGGGGGATTTTTATCGTATTAAGATGTATTTTAAAACAGGAAGATTCTATAAAAAAATTATCAAAATTTATGAGTCGAAAGGATAGGAAATACAACAGCTAGCCTAGCTTCCTGCATTCGCAGTGAGCCAAAAGCATAGTCTTGCTATCGCTCTGCAGTAATAGTTACTACTTTCTGGACTCGTGTACGCTGGTGAACCTTTTTTTATGCATATACCAGCTTTTTATATGGTGCACACACGCGCTTATTCTGGGCTATATTGACTTACCATCCATGATCTAACAACTGGGTCACTGGCTGGGGATCCTGGGAATTGTATTTAATGAAATTCTGTTGCCGTTGTCCCGTTGGGGTTATTTTTCCCTTAATGTAAACATAAAAAAGATAAACACTGGCCTCTCAAGTCTCAACGCAAACGCGTCCCGTATTTAAACATACGATGTTTTGTATGTACATATCGCATAAAAGCTGTGTTTACATATTTACAAAATTATTGCTTTACCGGCCGGATTTAAAAAACTTTGAACTGGCCGTGGCGACTGGCGAGTGACTGGCGAGTGGCGACTGGCGAGTGACTGGCGAGTGGCGACTGGCGAGTGACTGGCTAGTGGCGACTGGCACCTGGCAAGCGGCGGGCCTTTATCTTTTTTTTTAATTACATTTTGGTGCTTTTTAAAAAAAAAACAAATGGAAAAAAACCCCCCAAATATTTACATGTTAGGAGATAGGACTGAAAAATAGGTGGCGGCCTGGCGAGCTGGCGGCCCCCTGGCCGTTGCGTGAGTGGCGACCTGTCCACTCTGGAGGGTAGTGGACTCTACTAGCGGGTCTTGGACTCCTGGCCCTCCTGGCCCCCTTTCCTGGATAGGCTTGGGGATTGAAGCCGGCGAAGTGCACCAACCACCAACTCACCAACCCAGCGATTCAGCGCCTCGGCGGTGAATTAAACCGTGCTGTTTGTAAAGAAATACATACTTCGTAAATGATAGGCTGGCCGCAAACTTTAGTACTGTACAGTGTACAACCACGCTAGTACAAGTAGCCCCATACTGCAAGCTCTGTTGTGTGATTATAGCTAGCGATACCATTTCTGGCTTAAATTTGTGGACGGTTTGCACCAGCAGGGAATGTTGAGCCCTTGTATGGTCGTTATCAAGCATGCACTTCCGCTTACGTACGGGCCGAAATGTCTTTGCGCCCATTAGAAAGGCCTGTGGCGTATGAGCTAGTTCAACCTCACAATCAGAAATGGCAGAAATGCGCTCTCATTCCGAACGTACACTCGGACTAAAACAAGCGACAAGTTCGGATTTCACTTCGGTGGATCTGGCAAAGCGACTATATATTGTGCTAAGCATACCAGAGGATAAGTCAATCAGAGATGAGTCTTGTATTGATTTGCAACTTATAAGAGGCATTTTCAGCAAGATTTTTGCGGTTGATTTTACGGACACTACAAGCACCGCAGCTGAAGCTAGAGCTATGGTGCGCTACCTCAGCGATACTGTTCTGAATTGCGATCTGGATCATATTATCTCTTCGGATATTGTAACTGGTGTGTTTGTTGTTGAAATTGAAAGGTAGTAGTGACACACTAAGAACTGCCTTTATAGTTAAATATCGTGCGCACGCTTCGAGTACACACTGTGTTCACCATGAAACAGATTGCTAAGTTCAGCATCGATACAAATAGAAGATAGATTTAAAGGGTGGATTATCTCAACGATATTTTGCTGTATGTGGTTTACGAAACAGTGTTGACGTGATAATACCAATATTCTATTTTCCGATGATACTGCACCCATACCAAAGCACACAATCGTCCTTAGAAGCATCAAGCAAAGCACTCAGCCCGATACATCGTTTACTACTTACAAGGTGAAAAGAGCTCCGCACAAGATTCGCAGCAGTATTCATTCACAAAATGCCGATACAAACTTAACAATCCTCATGCAGGTATTGACGGTGGGCTGGCTAAGCGATTCATTTTAGAGCTGCTATGGGAGATAGCCGTTGCGGTGAGTGCCGAATCTCACAGTGAAAATTCGGATGAGTATAGTAACGCAGAACAACCCAGACCAGCGCTGGAATACAGTCACCGAGACTCTACCACGAACAAACCATCTATAGATAGGAATACACAGACGCAAAAGGAAAGTCAGAAACAATGGGCTGGCTCTACCAATGTACAGAACGACATAGAGTATGAGCTGGTCGGTGATGAACCAGGCGCTCGACAGAGTATGACGCCTCATGCAGCACGTAGTGGTGTGACACCTTTCAGCAAGGGACAGGTCGCAACCGAACCGTGGCAGCAGGTGCCGATATCTAGTAGATACAATACGTGGTACCCTACAGCACTGGACAGTTGTGAACAGGAGTTCACTCCAATAGGACACTCGTATACACCACAGGGAGCTTATAATAATTCTTCTTTACGATCGCGGCTGTTGTTTCAGGATGGTGAAGGTGAAGGCGATGGCGATCGATTGGGTCAAGATGAGGATATATACGGACGCAGTGTGTGGGCTGGTGTACTAGACAGAGATATTGACGACGAAAGGGGTGTACGTGGGGTCCTACCCGCAGGAGAGCGTGCCTTTTATCGCACGAGCTCCGAGCAAATAGGTGCGCGTGGAGGATATGACCACCACAGCTACAACTATCAGTCCATGTCGCACTACAGGGCAGGTGCTGATGGCAATGTGGAATCACTTATAGATGGAGGCATTGGCCATGTCGACAACGACCTTGGTCTCGATATGGCGAGGCTAAGACTGGGTAGTGCGCATGAGATGATAAATACAGACGTAGACACACGCCTTCACACATTACCGCGATCACGCTTCAGCACTCACACACGGAGCGGCGCATATGCCACACCATACCAAACGACCCATGGCGAGACAGCAGATGCAGAGCCACAACTGCCGGCAGAGAATAGATTGGGATACAACCAGATGAATAGGCTAAGAGGTGACTTGACGGCCTCGAACAACGAGTATCACCACCAGCGGAATGCAAATAGGTTTAGATATAACACATATAATGGACACTTAGGAATGGCAAGTACTACCAATTTATTGCAGCTTTACGGTGATGGGTACGAGTACGGACACGAACACGATGATAGGAACCTGCAGAGTCGTGACGACCTTTACGAAAACCAGTTCGCTGCCACACAACGGCGACTGCAGCAACAGCAGGCGAGAGATATGCAGAGTGCGATGCAAAGTATGAGACTCGACGGTGTGAACCAGCACAGGGGAGAGAAAGAGCCTGTGGATACCGGTATATACGGCCCAGGGTTGGATGGGTTTCAGCAGATAGGGGCAAGTGTTTGTGTGTGTCTTTCACTTGAAGTCTTGCGTGGATGTGTGAATGCGTTTGTGAAGAAGTGCATAGTTTGGGTTAGGCTCTGTCAATTAAACGCATGCTTCGCGATGACCAAGGGAATCCGCATGGGATATGAATATGTTTCATCTCTGAAACAATATATACTTATCGTACTAGAATTTAGCATTAGTATATCCTCGGAACGATTCAAATTGACCCACGCCGCAAACGACTATGGAGTCATCTATATGTCCTTAATCGAGTAACATCATGTTCGTGCACGTGGTTGTACTTACATCACTATTCAACACATTCGAGAACACTCAATTCTTATCTCCGCATATATCCAGGATGAAGACTACGACGCACGCTATAGCGGCAGCAACAGTAAACCTCGGGTAGATACAAAGCGTACAGACGACGATGGGTACGAGTCGGGTATCAGCCATCGTGAAGAAGCCGAACATCTACGACGAGAGATCAAACGAATGCAAGAGAACATAGCTTGCTTGGGGGAAAGCAGGCAAGCGGCCTGATTGGCAGCAAATTATTAGAGAAAGGATGTACGCTCTAACGCATACATGCAGCACATTCACATTGAACAGATATGGATATATAAATAAATATCTATACATAGATAAAGATATATATATATATATATATATATANATATATATATATTATAATATATATATTATTNNTATTATATAGTATNTATATATATATATTATTATATTATTATATATATATATATATATATATATGTGTTNTATATGGTTGTATATATATAATATAATTAA